TAAATGGACTTGGCGAAAGCCAAGCCCGCCTCTGCGCCAACTTTCTTATGCATATAAATATTCAAATAATGTGCATAATCGGATTATATAAGTTAAGTTCGTAGCGTGCGTATGATGTTGTGGCTGTTGAACAGCAGCTTAGAAGACAGACTGCTAAGGTTCCCAGCGCCTTGCAGCTGGTAAATACTAGGGAAACTTTGGGAAATCAGTGGCGGAGAAAACTTATTACATTTACTTATAATTATCAGGGACGTAGCGAAGGCCTCTGGTTTGGGGGGGGGTGACGTTCCTAATTTTCCCAACTTTATTAAAACATTAAAAAAAAATCATATGTAGCATCGTACACGTGTTAAGAAGTGAAACCTCTTAAAAACTATTCCCCTTCCTCATACAACTTTTAGACTTAGCGCATGAGTCGGGGCATAAAGACGAAAGGTTACACAAAAGACAAACGCGCATCTATATTGACGTCACAAGGGTATCGGCGCTTGAAAATAATAGGCAATCCACTTTGCTTATAAACCTTGGTTTGTGTCAATCGTTCGTCGGCTGTCATTGTCATTGTCTGTCTTTCTCCGTCTCTCTACGTTAAATCTTTCTTCTCTCTCGTGTGCCGAAATTTGCCAAAACATGTCGTTACGTGTAACATGACGCGTCTTTCAAATCACTTTCCATTCTCGTTCAAATCAGACCGCTGCCTAAGAAGTTTAACTTCAAAAAAATCAAGTGTAGCATCATACACGTGTTAAGAAGTAACACTTTTTAAAAACGATCCTCTCCTTCATAGTTTTTAGATTTAGCGTAGGAGTCGGGGTGAAAACGAAGAGCCACACAAAAGGGAGACGCGCATCTATAGTGACGTCACAAGGGTATTGGCGCCTGACAATAATAGGCAATCCTTTTTGCTTATAATCCTTGGTTTGTGTCAATCGTTCCTCGTTTGTCATTGGCTCGCTTTCTCCGTCTCTCTACAGTCTACGTTATATTTTCCTTCTCTCTCGTCTCTCGTGCAACGAAATGTGCCAAAACGTGACGTTACGTGATGCGTTTTTCGAATCACTCTGCATATTATCATCTAAATATCAGACCGCCGCCTAAAATCGGAATCTCATGCATCCGTTTTCCGACGTCCGATGTCCGAAAAACTTTATTCTATTCTGACATAATCGTATAAAAATATGTCAGAATAGATGGTTTTTCGGACATCGGAAGTCGGAAAATGCATGCATGAGACTCCAGCTCAAGAAGTTTCACTTCAAAAACTGATAAAAAGTTTGACATGTATATAGGGTGATTTACGTAGCCCATGCATTAGCCTGCAGATGGATTGGATGCTATTTCTACTATTCCACCTGCAAACTGGACAACTTCAAATGCACGGGCTACGCAAATCACGGTGTATATTCCAGACCTACAAATAATATAATCAAATAAAATACACACTGTATAAAAACGTGTATAAGAAATATGTTTGAAAAAACCAAAAACTATTTCTTCAACTCAAGAGCAAAGGATTCGGAGCTTTGCTGAAATCTGAATAGCGAGCGAAGAATGCGCAGAACGCAGAAAGCAACATAATATAAGAAGTTTGGACTATCTAATATACTATATTGTCCATCTCTCTCAAACACGACGCGCTTGCAACAACAAGCTATAAATATAACTACGTCGGTCTTTGGTATTGACTCTTGAATAGTGCTAGTGGCGCTCGTGCCACTACTGCCACGTGCCACTACCAGTACATGACATGATCCTATGTTAATTTTAAGTAGTCCTCGCAAATAACCTGCGCAAATTTTTGTCTACCGATTTTTCCCAACTTTAAATTTTTTATCCAAGTTTTCCCAACTTTCGATATATTTTAAGAACTTTGGGGGGGGGGGGGGCGTTTTATAGCGTCTAAGAAGTAATTTCAGCCAAAATTAGGGAAAAAGTTGTTGTTTTGGTTACTTTGTCTGAGCCTAGCTGATTTCGTAAGTGAGTTATAACATCCGCTTTTGTATCGTATCTTCTTGCCTACAATCGCTTCGAAGAGAACCTCTCAGAGACACAGTGTAAGTTTAGACACAGCCGAGGTATAGCTGACATGATGCAAGAGAATTCCAATACAAATGCAAGAGAAATACAAAGAACAAAATCAAACTCAAATATACTTTATTGTCAGAAGTGCACAAAAGTCTCACTGACAAAGCTGTTACAAGAACCTAATAGCTAAAAAATCTTTAAAAGGTATTCAGTAACTTAAACCTAAACTGGATTTATGGATCTCAAAATAAAATAACAATACAAAAACAAAAAAAATATAATAAAATATTGGACATTGAGATGTATTTAAAAAAAAATCAAATATGAAATATAATATTCAATAGACAAACTAGTAAATCAAAATTATTACTCATATATAAGTACCAGATCCATACATATAAGTAATCAACATAGAATGGATAGTCCCGTTATACGGATTGGACAACCATTTGTGGCGCCATCTGTTGTCTATGAAATGAGCTCATCCCATTGTAGCAGCTTGTAGAGCAGTTTGCTTCTTATTTTTTTTAGATTTGCTTTTTATTTATTTTATAATAAAGACACAATTTGATACAAATTTAACAAATAACGGTTTATTACAAAGAAAGGAGAAAATTATGTTGGCTTTTCGAAACTTGTTAACAAAGCCAACACTTAACAACACAGATTTAAATAACAATGATAGTCTTTACACTAAACATAACACTGTGAAAGTTCACAAATACACACAGATAACGCTCTATCACTACGAGACACTTTTTCAACGAACAGAAATATTAAAGCAACTAATAAGCACAACGTTTTCCAGTTCATCGTTTTGTTATCATTTATCATTTCATGAATTTATGTCGGTTCATGTCATAATTTAATTAGTAAACACGTCACCCTTCTTTTGAAACGGAGATACCTTGGAGATACAATCAACAACGCGTACGTAAATCAATTGATAGCGCCTCTACCGGGCATGAAACAAGTTTATCATCGAACCAAGTGGTACATTTGAAGATCGCGGGGTACGGTAATCAACTCAGTTGAAATATAGTATATTGTGTATTTAGGTGGGAAAGTGACACATTCTCGGACGACGGTGTAAGTTGACGGGCGAGGCGTAGCCGAGGCCGGCAAACACCGAAGGCTGAGAATGTGCTTTTCCACCGAAATACACATACTATTTTTTCTGCGATCGGTTAAATACCTGTCAAATGTTTGTCTTTTGGTTCCAATTACTCAGCAGTACGAGAATCACTTTCCCGGCCTAGGCCGGAAAAGTGTTTTCTGTATTGTTATTCATTGATTCCTTAGCAACTATTGAAACATAATCAAAATACCAGAATAATGAGTTTTGCGACCTGTCAACTGGTCAAAAATGCTGACATTTCTTGTCAATCGCAGAAAAAATTAATTTTTCTGCGATTGACAAGAAATGTCAGCATTTTTGACCGGTTGATAGGTCGCAACACTCAATATTCTGGTATTTCAATTATGTTTCAATAGTTGCTTAGGAATCATGAATAACAATACTGACTGAATGATGACGAGCTAGCTATCCACGTTATGTAGACTACCCTTACACAACGTGGATAGCTCGTCATCTGCACTACAGGTCACCCTTCATGGCTATACTGTTTTTTCACTATAAATACCAAAAAAAGAAAAGTTGGTTATGGATTTAAATTTTATAAATTTTGTATCTTTTGAACTTCCGCTCTTGTCAGCAACATTGACTTACTTGTCATGTGTCACTCCAATCGGAAACCACAAATTAACAAGGTGCCAGGGAGAATACACACTCTAAGGAGTGCTTATCGGCCTCGTTTTTGGTGATCGCCGCCATATTGGTTTTCAACTGTTTTCAACCATTGCCGACGTCATAACTAAGTCGTCAGCTGTTTAAACAGTTTACGTCAAGGCAAGAAACGCCATATACTGCTTACTGCAACTGGTTGTTTGGCGTGGGGAGGTAGGGGGGGATTTGTTACACACAGGCCTTATGAGGATAGGTCATCCTTGACAACGTGCAACCAAACACAGAAAGATTGCACACCGCCGTGTTGGTCTTCCATAAAATTAAGAACAAAGAAAAATTTTAATTTAAAGCATTTAAAGTAACTTTCAATGAGATTGCTAACTCTTGAGAGACGCAGCCTTTGCATAAGAGTACCAGTAAACCAAAGATCTTCCGATATTTTAAAGTGTTAAGTTTTAATTTGTAATGTGATGTTTTCGTTCCTTTACACCTATATGTTCAACGAGAAGACTCTTTGTACAAACCTGACGAAGTGAGTAAATCTACTTTCTTTAGTAATTTCCTTTTACATCAATTTATAGTCAAATTTCCAAATTTTCCAGACTCTTCAGAAAGTGTTTTTCCTTACTTTTAGGTTGCACTGATGATTGCCACGGCCGAAAGCGCTTTGCACTGATTATTATTTAAGAGTTTTGCACGAAATACAAAAAATTTTCATTCCTTATTTCCTCAACGTGCACACAGCCTTACACCCTCTATTATTCACATAAAAGACATTCCAATTTTGAAAGAAAAACATCACAGTTTATGCCAGGGGAACGATAAATACAAACAATATACAAATCAAACATTTAGAAAACACCATTGAACACTCAAAATCTTTCTCACTGCAGAAATTATTATATTCATCAACGTCAGCAAAGCCAAAAACGTTACATCGACATCTTTTGATGAAAATACAAAAATAAAATCTATTTTTTTTCTGACAAAGTTAAGAAAAACGGTGGCCCAAAGACATGGTTATCGAGATCCCCATGCTTACTAACGAACTTGTAATACCCTGTAGAACTTCAACATCAATTTGTAAATGTTATTGCTAGCTTTGCCATTTTCCTTTAGAAACATTTTTCTAAATTAAAATTTCTACTCCTCCTATACTGTCAGGTGCATATAGGCAAATAAAATATTTTCGTATTTTATAAATATATTATGTTTTAATTTTTTTTAGGTACTTTTAGAAAATACGATTATGGTCCTAAAGGTAACGTAAAACTTTACGGCCAAACAGATCCTCCTCATTACAACTTATCAGCTGTAACGGCTCCCAGTGCTTTCTTTTCAGCTCCTCTAGATGGTATGATATCTTTAGAGGTACTTAGTTGTAGAGCATTTGAACAAATTAAAACATCTATCAAATTCTAGGACGTCTACGAAGCGATTCTGAATCTACCCAATACGATTTACCTGTACAGAATACCATTTTATAGGTTTAATCATATTCATTATCTTTTCGGTAGAAATGCTTCGGAATTGGTTTATGAGCCGACGTACCAGTTGATTAAAAAAATTGATAGTGGTGTTATTCCTCCCCAAGTTGAAGTACCATCTGATTATAGATGATAATAAAGAATTTAAGATTTAATTGTGTTTTATTCTAATTAGTACCGAGTTACATTTTTTCAGATGTATAGTGTGTATATAATGATCCAAATTTTCTATAACCAGAGCTCAATCGTCATGTAATGTAGCCAGATTCTTTCGTGGGGAATATAATAGTTTTCTAGGATAAAAAAATTATGTGTGTATAATGAGATAGAGCTTTATTAGTATATGTAATGAATGAGCCAGATTTTCTTAACAGAATCTAGTCAGACTATAATGATCCAAATTCTGTATACCTAATCGTAGTCATTGTAGTTCTCCACTGGGATGAGAATCGCTGGAAATTTCAGCTTTCTATCTTTAATAGAAAAAGAGTTATGACTTTTCAAAGTTTTCCAAAATCTAAATCATAAGGTAGCTACCTCAGTAGGTACTAAAACGATGAAATTTCAAATTTCTTTTCTGTTGATATTAATGATCCTTTGGGATCCCCAAAACTCCATACACTTAATTATTCTGAGATTTGGAGCCGGAATCTATAAAATTGAAATATTGATAAATTTATCCCAAATTGACTAACGCAATTTTTTTTCTGAAACCATAAGTCCAAATGAGATGAATTTTTCAGGGATTGTAGTACCCTAGTAGGATAAGAATCGATACTTAAATGTTGAAATTTCAATTATTTTTTGTTGAGATTTTGTGTCTCAATGGTCCTTTGGGATTCCTCAAACTCCATACACTACATTATTCCGAGATTTGGAGCCGGAATCTATGGAAAAAGGCACTCGGAAAAATTGGAAAATTGATAAATAACCCCAAATTCGTTAACGCAATTTTATTTCTGGAACTATAAATCCAAATGAGCTTAAATTTTCAGGGATTGTAGTCCTCTACTGAAATACAAATCGCTAAAAATTTCAGCTTTCTATCTTTATTAGAAAAAAAGTTATGACCTTTCAGGTTTAAACCTAATACTTCTTTAATTTTTTTGTAGCATGATCTGGCAGCCTATGTTTTCCAACCCTGTTAATATATGAGCTTATTTTTTGCCCCTGATGATGGGATTTTCTAATCCTGAAACATGTAGGGCCGTTTAATACGAATAAAGTATTTGTGGAGGAAGATTTTGAGCTTTTCTTTTCAATTAAATTTCAATTCCAGTTTGAGTTATGGACTACTTCTTCTATTTAAATGGGAAGATGACAATAATCAGAGAAGGTAATACCGCAAGAATTTATGCAGAAGAAGACCTAGTAGCTAGTGCCATTCAGCAAGAATCGAATAACCTGTACAAAATGGTTATTCGTACAGTGTGCATCCAAAGTAAAGTTAGTGTTGCCGAAGAGGTTAGTGACTCATTGAAAAACTGGCATGAGAGGCTTATCAACAAGCAGTATTTAAAAGACATGATCACTAAAAACATAGTGAAAGGTGTGAAAATGAGTGAATTGACAACTTACAGGAGGAGGCATGCATACTAGGTAAACAGCACAGAAAAAGTTTCAAAGAGTCAACACGAGCTCTCAAAAGTGCTCCTGGATAACTAGTGTATAGTGACTTATGTGGACCCTTCAGTATTAGGTTTTCGTTATATGTTGCTTTTCCAAGACAGCTACACAGATTACCCAGTAGATTATTTCATCAAACACAAAAGTGATACGTATGAGAACTTTGTTCAGTTTAATAGTTAATGCTTTGCACGTCGATAATGGTCGTGAATATATAAATAAAGAACTGGAAGCTTACATGAACAAAGAAGGCATTGAACTTTTAGAAAATATTATACCCTATACCCCGGAGCAGAATGATCGATGTGAGAGAGAAAACAGTACCATCATGGAGAGTGCCAGGTCAATGCTTATTAGTGCAAATGCACCTCACTATCTCTGGGCAGAAGCAGCGAGTACCTACTGCAATATACATTCTAAATCGAACACCTTCTAAGCAGATCTCCAGCACACCGTATGAGCAATGGACAAGTGAAAAACCATACTTGGGACATGCTAAAATATTTGGCTGTGTGAGCCAAAAAGTCATAAAATGATATTTGTTGGGTATGACAAAAACTCAACAAATTATCGTTTGTATAATCTCATAAATAGAAAGGTTTCAGTATCACGCAATGTTTTATTTGACGAGAAAAACAAACCAAAAGAGATACCAGTGTTGATTGAATTCGAAAATCATGAAGAAGAACATTAGAATACCACCTCCTCAACTAACTCGGGCCACAGAATAATAGACATCAAGAACATTAACAAGTAGAAAAAGACGAAGAACTTAAACTACCAATTTCGAGACTGCAAAGAAATATAAAAATACCAGAAAATATGAGAGAATTTGAGTTATATTTAGTAGAGCTAGAAGTTCTAAGTAGGTACCTATAAAGAAGCAGTAAGTTGTAATGATTCTGAAAAATGGAAGAAAGCTATACAGGAAGAAATAAATGCTCATAAATGTCCAGATGACATTTTGATCCACAGTTCACATTAATGAGCGAATGAAGGCCTACAAAAGCTTAGATTCTTACAAATATTTCGAAAATGGCTTTAATTCAGATGCAGGAACAGTGGTAGTGAAAAATTTTCACGTTTTAATTGGAAAATTTTAAAACAAAGGGCAATGAAAAAGCCTGACATCGTCCTTGTTACCTTGTTGAAACTACTTCCACAATCAACTTCAAGACCCGCTTGTGGCATTTTTAATTGGAAGAAACACTAATTAAGTCCATAAAATAAAAAAATAAACAGAGTTTATTCACAAAATGCACTTTAAAAAGCTTTAAATTACATACTCTGTATGAACTTCCGCCACAACGCACTTTTTGACAGGTCGTTGGAATGCTTGGAAAAAACGTCGATGGCATCATTGTTAATAAGAATCATAGTTCCACCATGATTAAAGTAAGTTCTACAGAATTTAGAGATATGTACAAGTGTAATTTATGAGGGAAAATAATTCATTCTCTCTGAGCCAGAGTGCTCGGTCAGCAGTATAATTGTTGGAAGTCCCAAACCTAATTCAGCTGTTTTGGCTCTCAGGGACTGTTTATTCAACAACAACGTACTGAAGGTACTTGACTCTGACCTAAAAAAGAATTGTCTGTAGAATGTAAATTAGTAGGTATTTACATTGCCGGTACCATAAGCAGGTAAAAGAGCAATACTTTAGTCGATATTTTGCTGTGCATGGACAAACGGGTCATTACAACTCTCAGAAAAAATTAGATGCCGATCTATTTGGTTATTACAGATTATAGAGTTTTTTACGTAATTTGCCAACTTGTATAGTGCTCTTTTATTGAGATAGAAATTTTTGTTTATAGTGGCCAAAATTAAAAGGCAAAAAGGTTAAAAACACTAGTATTATAGTTTGACTGTAACTTTAGATCGCTTGCTAAATCAAAAAATGGTTTATTCACAACCCATATAGGTACCTGCTTTAGGCTTTGCTCCTTAAAACTTTGCAGGCAAGGTACAAATTATAAAATTAGTCTTTAAACAATCATTAGCTAATCTTCGCACAACACCGCGATCAATCATTACAACAAATCCCCCAAAACAACAACATAATCAGACAATGTAATTTTTTTTCTAAATCTGATGTACATGAAACTGAACCCTTGAATAAAGAATTCGGCCTACTAACAATCTCAATATAGGTCATACTGCCAAGAAAACACTCTATACTGTTATACATAAATTTCCCATAATTATCTGTCAAAACTAGCAGTCTATGTTTAACTAAGTGATTATTGGTAGACTATAAACCTGCTTTACTGGAAACGTTCAAATATTTGCTGAACATTTCATTTCTCGAAGAGAGATGTGTGAAATATTTGGCAGACTGATCACCAGCCAATAAGATTTTTTTCTGATATTTTGCTTTGCAGAGGGTGTCAAAGAAGGGTATTTGGAACAAGGCTCTTTAAAGGATTTTGACTCTTTCCTAAGTTTAGTCATCTCTTTTTGATAGTTTTCAAGATCATGGATTAGCTGACAGTTAATTTGATGCATTCTTTCAATCTCATAGTTCATTTGGATGTTATCCTCCATTTTTGCTGCCAACTGTTCCTTCGTCTCCGAGAATTATTCGTTCTCACTTGCGAGACATGAAGAATATGTTCGGGATCCGCGTTTGCCCTCCTGAACTTTACTTTCCAGCTCAGCAATAGCCAAACCCATTTATCTGATTTATTCGATAAATCTTATAGTTCTGTTGTAACATCTCGATTTCTTTATTCTATGTTCATGTTCCTGACTTTAAGATCTTTTTGGTAGCTTTCAATAGTTTGGCTTAGTTTACTTGCATTCATTTCAGCTACTCTATATTTTTCTGCATTTTAATCATGCTCCAATTTTTCCAGCATCGACTCTCCTTTTTTTCTCAGATGACACTTTTCAGTAGTCAATTTGCCGATAGTAGGTTCCACTGTTCCAGTGATGCAATCGCAACTTCCTGCCTGCTGATCGTCTGCACCATGTCTTTTTCCGTTAGGAACACTTGATCTTGGAAGTCAGTAGTTTGTCTCCTCAAGTACACTATTTGCTCTTCCTTTTCTTGAAATTCGCTAGTGAGTCATTCAATTTTTTGTTGCATATTGCTGGTATCGCCCTCTATACATGGCCTTCATAGATTTAGTGAAAGCATTTGATTCGGAAGATATTCGCAAAAGTTGGGGGTCCGCAAAAGTACATCCAGATACTCCGCCTGCTGCATGATTATATGAATGCAACTCTCCTAAGCAACGATGGATTCTCTAGGATCCATAGTTCACCTTGTCGAGGTTCACCTACCGTCAGGAGTGGAAATCCTGTACAGACTTGATGGCGGCTTATTCAACCTAGACATATTACGACTATTACGAAAAAAGACGGAAGTTTTGACGACATCGATAAAGAGGAAGATCTTCAGGCAATTATAAATGCATTCAGCGAGGCATACAGGAGAATCGGCCTAGAGGTCAACTTCAACAAGACGCAGATTATGCACCAACCGGCACCAGGCAGCGTACG